ATTACGGTGAATCACTCTAAATTATAATGTTTTTCTCCTTGGGGCTGAGCACCAGGGTAAGGGAATTCTTGGCAGTGGTGGTTAGAGGTTGAGGCAATGGCAGAACAAGTTTCATATGAACTTCCCAAAATGCAAAAGTCAGCTCTGGCTCGGCAGCACCTCTGCTGTTCAGTGATGACTGTGGGATGGGGTGAGTTGAGTTCATGGCATTAATGATTTTGGCATAACCTCTTTCTTAAAAATAAATCCGATCCCTGCTTCCAGAATGGCTGCAGGGAAACCCCTGAGCTCTTCAGGGGCTTGGAACTGGGCATGTCTTACAGGTTACCCAGTAAACTGAAGGTTAACCCTTGACTGGAGTTAATATCCGCCTGGTGGGTTTGTTTGGTTTTAGGTTAAAAATCTTCTTTCAGGGCAAAAAAGGAAGCTGTTAGAGTAGTGAAAACTAAAACCTGTTCTATAAATTATCTGGAACTAAAGCAGAGCTGGATACATCCAACCCCAAAGGCTCTGGATGAAGGACTGCATCTTTGAAGGACTCTTACAGATACTGCTGATCTCTATCCATTCCTGTCAATGGCTGAAGGCTGCAGGAGCTTTGGCAGAAGTGAGGAAAGCATATGTGCATTTCTTTCTTTTCATATGATTAGATCGCATACTGCACAAGTAGGAATGAAAATCAGATACTTTTTTAAAATTCTACTCCTAAAGAGCTGTTCTTTGTATAGTGGTGTACTGGAACTGGGCGTTTTTTCCTGCAAAGAGTTAGTGTGGTGATTCTCTGATACAGAATAGACTTGCCTGTCAAACACCAGTCTTCCAAAAAGTCCTCTTTGATGAAGACACAGAAACTGCCTGCTGGAGCTGTGGTGTGCCTTTCCCACATGGCTGTTCTGCATTTGTTGTGGGGCCAAAACACTGAAGATATAGTTATCAGCTAATCAATTTACTGGAAGAAGTTCTTCACTGCAAGGGTGCTGAGGGCCTGGCACAGGTTGCCCACAGAAGCTGTGGCTGCCCTATCCCTGGCAGTGTTCAAGGCCAGGTTGGACGGGGCTTTGGGGAACCTGGTCTAGTGGAAGGTGTCCCTGCCTGTGGCAGTGGAGTGGAACTAGATAAGCTTTAAGGTCCCTTCCAGCTCAAATCATTCTATGATTTTATGATTCTGTGATTCATAAAATAAGTTACAGTCCAGGAAAAAGATAAAATAAATTGGTGTTGGTGGGTCTGTAAGCCATAGAGAATACCTTGTGTCTGTGAATGTGCTGATGTTCCCCTGAAGCTTCTCACTTAGTGTTAGACTTCAGGTTTTGCCACCAGCCAGGCGATTAACTTGGTGTGTTGCCCAGGTCATGGGGAGCCAGGCTGTGCTCCCCACTGCTGTTCACTCGGGAGGTCCATGAACCAGCCCAAAATGTGGGTGCTTATGGCACCAGAAGACTGGACTCCTGCTCAGAAAGTCCTTTCCTGTCTTGCACGGAATGTGTAGTGTGAAATATACTATTAGCTATAAAATGCAACGTGTTCCTCACTATTTTTAAATGACATCAATATAATTATATCTATAATTAATGTGGATGGTAGCAAAATGCTAGCCTGATAATTTTACATCATCTTAATTAGCATTAATTTTTCTTTCTTTAGATGGTGTGTTTTTCAAACGCTTCTTCTGTAATTGTCAATTAGACATCAGACATCAGACGTCATAAACGTCAGACATCACTTTTTCAAAAGATATAATGGAACAGGGTATTGAAATTATTGAACATGAGAGGAAAAAGAAATATGCAAATCGAAATATATTTCAAAATATAAGTATTTGCTTTTTATAAAACACAGAAGAAAACATCTCTCTGAGGCTGAAAACATGTCTCTGAGGATAGAAGAAAATGGCTGATGCAAATGCTTAGTGTCGAAAAACACAAATAGGTTGAAAATTTGTTAGAAGTTGCTTCAGAATAAATAGTAATAGATAAATCTCCTAATAATGAGCACAGAAAAAGTTTAAATAGCTGTACAATATCTTCATTGAGTGATATTTTTGAAGCCAAACTGATACTTTGAGTGAGACATACGTTGTGCTACACATTATACCAGTGATTTTCAGATTATTAGATTATTTGGCCATGTTTCTTGTTCCAGATAGAGCATGAATAGTTGAATAATTTGTTTGTAAATCCCTCAGATTTCAGTTTAGTCCAGAACATAGGCTGCTCTTGTAGCTCTCTCGAAGAAACTTCACAACTGATCCTGATTTTTTTCTTTTTTTTTTTGACCTTATGTACTTCTCTGAACTTGACCTGATGTGCTAATAACAGCTCATCTGATGATGGATGTGGTTTTGAACACCCTGATCTAGTTGAAGATGTCCCTGCTCATTGCAGGGGGGTTGGACTGGATGACCTTTGAAGGTTCATTCCAACCCAGACTATTCCATGATTCTATGTTAATGTGTCAGACCTCTACAGACCAAACCAGTAATCAGCCTTCTAAGTGTAGACTTTTTTCATCAGTGTTTGGGTTTTACTTACTAGGGACAAGTAGCATCTTACTGTAAAAAAAGTAAAAATAGATAAATTGGAAAACCCACAGATTCAGGGTACAGAGTGGAACTTGGGAAGTGTTTGTGTGACAGCTTGTATGAATTGAAAGTTTGAAAAATCTGCCTCTACTGCCATGGATTTAACCTACTCCAGTAGCTGTGAATGCTTTAGTCCTTGCTGAGATTTGCCAGAGATGGGCACAGTTAGAGCTGCTTTTCAAAATTACCCCCGTATCTGTTCCTTGGTCAGCCCTCAGCGTACATTCCCTTCTCTAAATACTTCCAGAATGTAACTGGATGAGCTAGTGCATATGCAGAATTTCCAGCACCTTGGCTGAGGTTATATAGGTTTTTAAAGGCTCTGGGACTTGCTTTTGCGCACAGAAAAGTGGGGAAGGGAAACAGAAAATGTCCATGTGAAGAAAAGGTGGCATTTTTTGAGGTGGTATGGTCTCATTTCACTCCCTTCCAAAAGGCTGGTATGCTTTGGAGTGTGATAGCTGCAGAACAGTGGCAGGTTGGTATTTCAAAGTCTTTCTTTCCACTGGAGAAAAAGTCCAAGTATTGGCCAATGGCCAAGGTTTTTTTAAGGCAAAGCAATACATTGAGACCCTCAGATTTGATCTCAGCGATTTAACACTGGATGAGTAAATGCAACAAGCAGCTGGTGCTTTGCTGACATTTGGATCCCAGATTTTCACCCATGCAAGGGGTTGGTGAGTGTGGAATAAGAAAATGGAAAGACGACTGATCCTGGGAGCTCTTGCTCTCTCCCTTGTGGCTTTGATTTGGACCTACCTGCTCCACTGCCACCTTGGCATGCTACTTTCAAATTCCATGGAAGGTTTATCTGAACCTCCAACTTCCAAACCCTTGCCTTTATTCTCAGCATATAGGTTTAAAAATAACATGGGGAGAATTTCCTTTAGTAGCACACCACTGCCAAGCATCGTATTTCTAAGTGATGAGGTATCTCCCGCCCTCTGCTTAATTCACTGAAAAAGTTCCATTTGCTGCTTGATTTGAGTCTTATTCCTTGAGTACAATTCAGTGTTTCTCTGGAAGTCTTGATGGATAGACATCCCCTGGGGCACTGTGTTATTTGTGGTTCAGATCTTGGCCCTGGCTCTTTGAATTGTACTGTAGTCCTTTTACAAGAGGTATAGGTTGTATAGGAACTCTGAAAGCACCAAGTATGGTATGTGTATGTTCACAAGCTGTAGTTGTCTGTGCTTTTATTTATATGGCTCTGTTAATTTAAGCATTGCCACCTAAGTGAGTATTTTGTATATTTTTGACAGCAAAAGACAATTTCTCCATTGCAGTTATATAGATATAGATTTTTTACCAATCAAAACCCGAATAGGACATAATAATTCTATCACTTGCCATGGTCTTGACATTATTTTATTAGCTGCAGCCTTTCTCCCATGTCCCATTTCCACCCCAGTGGTACTGCAGCCCCATGGCTCTAACAGCAGAGCAGATGCTCTTTGTAATTGAATGGTGGGTGCTGGTGGCTCTGCTCTCTGGTCTCCTTCATTTATTATGAAAATAATTCACTTTTTTCTAAGAAAAGGAAAGCACAAAGCAATGCAGACCAAAGGTCATGCAGTTTCCTAAGGTCATTCAAGAGCTTTTATGGTAGGGCCAGCAACATTATGAAGTACGCAGACAGTGGTTTAGGAGCAGGGAGATGATTCCTTTGTGTAATTTTATGTAAATACTTGCATTTCTCTACCAGCTTCCTTCATTTCCTCCCCCTTCCTCTGTGGTTTCTACATTTTCATCCCTCTCTAGGCAGCATACTTTGCTGCTTGTGTTATTCACAAGGAGCATGCAGGAGAGCTGGCTGGAGACCCCGCAGTGGATTAGACTTAGCATGGAAGTTCAGTCAATATTCTTTAGCACTCCTTCAGATTCCAAACCCACCCACAAAATGTTGAGATCTGGTTGAGCATTCTTCCACATCAGCCAGATGGATCCTTGCTCCAGGACCTTGATGATGCTGCCCCAAGAGCTCAGCCGGAACTGCATCCATATGGATCTTTAACAGTATTGGTACATAAACTTAAGGTTGATAGTAGGAGGAAGAATTACTTTAGAAAGATTGGAATCTTCCAGTGATGGGCTTGATTTATCCATCATTAAGATCTATGAAATTTCTCCTGAAGATACTGATCACAATTACATACTTAAATAGTATTCCCAGGAGGTAAAATTGAGTGCATGCTGGGGTGATTCCTGGGCTTGGTCCCATAAAATTGTTTTTCCTCAACTCAGTATTCCTTCTCTTACGTACAGCAGACACTCATTAGTGGAGAAACTTGCATGAAACTTGTGAAATCCAAGGCACCACTTCAGCGTTTGGAGAAGAAAGTAGTTCTGCTCCACTGGAGTGATCAGCAGTTAGAACTTTTGCTGACTCTTTGTCACTTCAATGGTTCTCTGTTTCCAGGTCTTTTCTTACACTGCTGACAAAGAGATCCGCACAGACGACTTGTGCCTGGACGTCTCGAGGCTGAATGGCCCTGTCATCATGCTGAAGTGCCACCACATGAGGGGGAACCAGCTCTGGGAGTACGATGCTGAGGTACCCATGGCTTACGCTGTTGCACCCACATTCATCAGGGCAGAGCTGGGAATTTATTCTTAGAAGAGCATGGCTGTATCCTGAGGAGCCTGGGAATGACATGGTGGACCGATGCAATGGGGTCTCCTGCCATATCACAGGCTTAGGGATGCAAAGTAATTCAGCTGACCACTGGGTTTTAAATGGTGTTTCCTCAAAATGTCATTTTTTGAGGGGTGAAAAAGTCAATTATTGTTTAGAAAAGCTTATTTCTAGTAGCTAGCATTGTCTTGCATTCTTGTAAACTGTAAGTATTTTGCATTTTTTTATATAAATGATGTAAAAAACAAGATTTATTTCTTTTTTAGTTAAAGTTTTTCTGGTTTCTTTCTTCTGGCTTTTCAAGATTATTTACTCTGCATTTAAATTGTGTTTAATAATTCTCTGTGCTTATTATCAGTCACTTCTTTAGGTTGTCACTACCATGGGATGGGAGGTGGCTTCTTCTGGGTTTTGAGAGGGAGTGCAGTTTCAAGAAATTTGGTGGCTTACGTGAGGTGGCTTGCAAAATGAATACAAAATATGCGTAAATATCTAGTGTTTTATGGCTGAATAGTTCTTCTTTTTAAATGGGATAGGAAAGAGCAGATGAAAGCTAAGGCATTTAATTTAAGCTTTTGCTTTTTGATATGAAGGTGCAGTTCTGCATGGTGGAATTCACACAAAAGTATTAGTATTCTCTTCAAGGCAGCATCTTTCTAATATGTTGCAGTAAGAAAAAAACACGCAAATATTGCATAATATTGAACTGCCAAGTAGAAAAGCAACGATACTTACCACTGAGATGCAATTTATTTGTTACTTTTTGTTACCTTCTTGAGTTTAAACAAATTTTCTCTTTCATAAGGAAGATTATTTTTCTTCTTGACAAAATGCATGCATATTTTGATGATTTTTTGATGTTTTTGAAGATGTTCAGGCCCATAATCAACACCTGAGATTTAAGATTAGTGGCTGCCCCATGGTCTGTGCTTATGTGGCTCTGCTACTCTCCATTTAGAAATCCCAGATTAGCATTGGTGCATTTCCATGGCTGCAATGGGAGAAAAATACTGTAAAGCTGAAAAAAATACTGGTGTACTAAAAGGCATGAAGTCTAAAAAGTATTTCCAGTGTGTTCATAGAAACAGCTGGTTTCACCTTGCTGCATGAAAGGTAAATTTGTTTCAACCATGTATGTTCTTTAATTTTAGTGTTGGAAACATGCTGTTTTTTTCTCTTAAACTTAGCGTAAGAGATCCACAGTGGAAAATTTCTAAGGAGCTGTGTAAAACCAGAATCAACCGTTAGATGGAGCTCATAAAAAAGAAATACACCATTTTTTATGTAAGGGATCTCCAAGACAAGGGCTTTGCTATTTGTTCCACGAACATTTCTGTTTAGTGACAGGAATATTTTTGTTACCAGTTTTAGTCTGTGAACATTCAGACTTCAGCTTGCAAACTTCCCTTTGATGACAGTATTGATATTTATGATCCAGGACCTCCAAAACCAGAAGGACATGGACCTGATGGATCAAGTCCAGAGAAGGGCCATGAAGATGCTCTGCAGGCTGGAGCACCTCTCCTATGGAGACAGGCTGATAAATTACATCTCACAGAAAAGAATGTTACAGTTCCCAAATGGTTGTTCTCACCCTGAAGAAAGCAAACATTTAAGTTGGTATTTGCAGGGATTAATGTCATATCATGTAAGCATGATGAGCAGTCAGAGCGCTAAATTATTCTTGCATCTTTCTCCAAAAAACACCCCTTAAAAATTAGTTTTATGGACTTTCTGCTTAGTGGCATAGGACTCGGCAGTACCCAGCCTGAGTGACGGGTACACCTATAAAATCCTAATTTATTGATTGAGAGGGTTGGTGTAAGAAGCAAAGCTGTTCAATGAACTTTTTGTGAATAACCTGTTGCGCTCTTGCTTGTTTGTTTCATTTGCAGCATGGAGAATATTTTACATGAAGCTTAAAAAGAAAGTTGAATTTTTTATTTTTTTTTTCTCAAAGCCCTGAATTGCAGGTTCAAGTAAAGCATTCCCTTTTAATATCTGCATAAAATGGAACTCCGTGCTGAAATGAAATCATCTGCAATCAGAAAGTGGGGGGGGGTTTGCTCTTCAAACTGATTTTTCCATAATTCTGTTTTTCAGTTTGACAGAAGCATAACACACAGTGGTTGTGTCTCTGGGGCTGATATGTCTGACCCATAGGTCATACAGGGTTGCCTAAATGTTGTATTCCATTCATTTTTCCTGCAATGCAGTTTTCAGTGAGCGGCATCTCTTTTTTAACCCAATGGGGTGAATTATTTTTGATACCCGGTCTAGTGGAAGGTTAAAACTAGGTGAGCTTTAACATCCCTTCCACCCCAAACCATTCCTTGATTTTATGATACTCATATCTATATAGTCTAAAAAGAAGCCTTTATATGCACAAAATATTAATAATATAGTCTGGATTTAAGGAAACACTAAATAAAGAAACCTGCTGTCACCAGGAGAAACAACAGCACTGAATTTCAGCCTGCATATCCCCCCAGCAAGCTGTTGCCAGGAAGGGTAGCCAAGTCTGTGCAGCAGTCTCCATTTCTAATGCAAAATGGCTTTTAACACTTGAGGTAGAAGTAGTTTACAGCATTTTTAAACATCTCTTTTACTGAATGTTTCAGCATCTTGACAGGAATTTTTTTTTTTTTTTTTTTTTTAATTCCTTTGCCTTCCATTATTGAATTTTGATGCTTTCCTCTCCTGCTTCTTGAAAAACACAGTAAGATTCCTGGCCCTTTCTCAAGCTGCCCATTACCTTGCAAGGGCAGCTCTATGAATCAGCTGTGTCAAGGGGATGTGCCAAGTTAGACGTTTCCCAGCTTTCAAAGGTTTCTTGTCAGTGTGTGTTTTATAGTATATTTATAATGCATTAAAACTGTTTGCTTTGGAATGGGGGTGGGAAACAAGGTGGCAGGTCAGCAGAAAAAGATCTGGGAGTGAGGATGGGCTGGAGCCAGAGTTTCTCCCTCAGCCTCTGATCTTGCTTGTCTAATGAAGCATGTTTTACCAATTTTGCTATGATAGCTATTTGCTTGGTTTGTCCCTGTACTGGGGCACTGGTCTTGCTGGAGATATTTGTGCAGGAGTGACAGGGAGCTGCCAGATAGATCCCTAAGGTCCATGTTTGTGCTGATGTCCCTGGTGACTCCTCTTGTGTTTCCCTGTGGCATCCCGGCAAATATAGTATGTAAAGTGTGCTGAAATTTTATAATATGTAACACATGAATGAACTCGGTGGAAAAATAATGCCGTAAAGATGTCACATGTGGTAGAAAATAGTTTCGTTTCCTCATGCATGGATGATGATGTCAGGATTTGATCTTGTGCAATTACTGTTATTTGTCGCTCGACGCAGTATTTGTCCATGCAAGAGACGTTGCATTGACATTCACAAAGAGCTGAGATCTTCACAAAAAACAGTTTCTCGAGTCCCTCTTTGATTCCAATTTCCTTTATTCTTTTTTTTTCCCCTTCCACCAGTATGTTGGTAAATGGGAATATAGCTTTGAGGTAAGTTTGGTAACAACTGCAACCCCTGCACCAAACCCTAGAATAGCGCATCTCTTGCTTGCTTCTCGAACAGTGCTGTGTTAAAGTGATGTGTCCTAGTACCTTTACATAATTGCTGCTACATGCCAAATGTCATTTATTCAGGTAGTCAGTACACGGTGTCAGGCTGCCAATGTTTTCTTCGGAATATATGTGTCAGAGTGATAACTCAAAGGTATCATGTCAGAAAAGTGATTTGATGAAAGGCAGATGCTGATGTTGGCATGCACAAGAGGATGCTGGCATGTAGGGATAGGACAATAGGGAAGGGTTTTAAACTGAACGAATGTAGGTTTAGATTAGATATTAGGAAGAAGTTCTTCCCTGTGAGGGTGCTGAGGCCTTGGCACAGGTTTCCCAGAGAAGCTGTGGCTGCCCCATACTTGGAATTAAGGCCAGGCTGGATGGGGCTTTGAGCAACCTGGACTAGTGGAACGTGTCCCTGCCCATGGCAGGGGGTTGGAACTGGATGAGCTTTAAGGTCCCTTCCAACCCAAACCATGCTCTGATTCTATGAGTAGAGAAAAGCAGGGAGCATCAATTTATGGTGTAAAGATCGATGGCTGAGAAGCACATGAGTACATGGATACAATGTCTGGGAAGAGCTGGCTTGTTTCTTGTGCATTTTTTGTTTACAAATGATGTAAATACACATTGCATTATCAATGTCACATCTGCTGGTCTGCATCCTTCAAACAATTGCAGACTGTGACTGTTTGTCTTCTTAAAGTTATGGGACCAGCTGGAGTTGGTGTAGTCAAACGAACTTGTACCAGAAGAGATTATGGCTAATAGTTTGAATAGTCCTATAAATTGCAGTCTTATTACTAACTTCTACCTTGGGAGGTTATTATAATTCAGCTAGTCCTATAAACTGCGTCTTTTTACTATGTAATTGAAAGTCCTTAGTGCTTAAAAAATCAGTAAGGAAAACATTGCAGGGATTTTTATTATTTTTTTACATTACCTTCTTAGAAAGTAGTGTTTAATAAAATGAGTGGAGAGGAAAAATGATTTAATTCTTTCAATACTACAGATTTTCTCAAGTCAGTGCAACCTTGCTGATGTACACAAGTTAAACTTGCTGTACCATGTACCAGAAAAAGGAGTCTGGTCAGATTAGCAAAATAATGCTTATACTTTTTATGCCCATATGAAAAATCTACTAAATTTAGGCATTTACTGTAGTATAAATGTGCAATATAGAGAAATTGTGACATTTTGAAGTAATTTATTTATGTACCTCTGTATTCCCTAAAAGAATAGTAGCCAGAAGTGAAGATGAAGCAATAATACACAATGAAACAAAACCAAGCAGTGATGTTTGCACTGGTTACTCAAAGTGACATTATAAGGACATTCATTCTTGGTATTTTTAGTGACTTCTTTATACATACGTTACTTTTACCCTACCAAGCCAAAATCACAGAGCAGGAGAGGGCGAGGGAACAGCAGATGGGGCCAGGATGCAGGAGGAGCATCCCCAAGCAGCACCAGCCCTGGGCACCTGCCATGATCTGGCTGTCGCAGCCTAGGGTAAGATTTAGGAAAATAAAAGCTGCCCTCTAACTCTGTCTACCTGACTGGTAAAAGAAGAGCTGAAATCGCACTTGACAAAAGAAATTCTGATTTCCCTTTATGTAAATGTTTAATTCATTATATTTTTAATTTAGTAATGCTCGAGTAGGCTTCAGAATGGTTAGCACAAGTTATTACTGCAATAGAAACATCATCTCTGCCCAAATCTTGCTGTGCAATGGGAAATCATGATTGCAGTGAGGCAGCAAGTATGGGGAGGAGGGTTCAGAGGCATACTCGGTCTAAATTGCAAAATGTAAAGTGAACAGGTCTCAAGTGGACTGGTCCCTCAAAGCAAAGCAGCTAGAACATTTTTTTTGAAGCTGAAACTTGGTTATATATACATTATATATATATATATATAATATGAGCATTTGTGTGTGTGTTATGGCTGTGTAAGCTAGCACAATTTCCTTATGATTTGGCACTGGTGTGCTCACAGGCGCAATTACCCATTAGTAATTCCCATCAGAGTGCTCTTAGCTTTATCTGGTTCACCACTGTGGATGTCTAATCAAACAGTCTGTTACTTTTTCCTTTGTTTGTCATTGTCTTTGCTGGTTTTGTTTACTTTTGCCATTTTTCTGTTATGCAGACCCATACATTTCTTCATATAATCACCCAGTCATGCCTGACAGTAAGCAGGATAGAGGATGGCACCCGTGGTCCCACGGTGGAGGCTTGCGATGGCAGCCCCTTACAAATGTGGATTCTAAGAAACTACACGAGGCTGGAAGTCTTTAGAAAAATTTTTTACAGCCCCACTGACTATTTCCTTTAAGAAACAGTTGGAGGTTGGTATTAAAAAGCAAATAGCATGTGATGCTTTAAGCTATTCCCAGAAAATTGCTTCTCTGTTCTCTGCCTGTTAAACTCAGCTGAATTTCTTTCTTGTTTTCACAGATGCTTATACAGATATATAATAGTATGTATGGTTAATGTTAATTATTACTTATTTTTAATTTTAACTAATTTTAGATTAATTCAACTACCTTGATCTATTGATGTCGATGTGCTGGTTCCTGTTGTCGACAGCTGAAGATTTGGTTCCTATTCTAAGACATAGAAATTATGCTAATTGCTTAATATTTTTCAGAAGTCTTCATCTTGAAAATTCCCAATTTTAAGTAATTCAGTCCTAGAGATATTAGTCACAGATAATTTTAAAAGATCAACAGATAATTTTAAAATATTAGTCACTGAAGGAATCAAAATATTGTGCCAACTACTGTTCTTTCCTAGACAGCTGGTAGTTGTCTAGTTCCTAGACAGCTGAGTAATACAGGGGATGGTGATGGGGCAGCACATGTGCAGGGGTGCAGGCTGGGTTTCCTCTCATTTGTCATCTCCTCCCCAGTCAAACAATGTCACCTTCCTGTCTGAGTGCATCCTGCTGAAATCAAGTGGAAGCCTCTCTTGTTAGTGGCAGACCGCTAACAACTGTAACCAGCAGCATCTCAGCAGGTGATGTGGAGTTTCAGCTTCATTGTTTACCGTAATGTGTTCAGAGTCCTCACTCATCAGAGCTATTATTTGCATGCATTTGGTAAGCAGGCAACCACTGAGCATCTGCACAGCTGTACAGGCAGCTCTGTAGCCATGCATGTGTTCTCACGTCTGTGTAAAACAAACATTTTAGGCTGGTTGTATGAGTATCGCATTGCCTAGTAATTAATTGTTTTCCAAGCAAATGAGACCTTTTTTGTAATAGCATAAATAATGATAGAACACAGAAAGGAAAAATTTATGAGATGGGTTGAAAATCCCAATGATACGGTAATCTAGCATGAAAGTATTCACTGAATAAAAGGGAACAGCTGATGGAGGCAACAGCAGCGTTTTTAGACTTGTTTTCATTTCTGGTTATAGTAGAAAATGATAGCAGTTTAATTGCACTTAAAATAATATAAGTGAAGAATCAGTGATGCTTTGAGCAGTGCTATTTAGTAAACAAGCTACTTCTGTTAGCACTGCTAATTCTTTCCTCTTGTAATTAGAGGGAAAAATGCCTTTTATTCATCAGTGAATGCATATCAAATGGCCCCTTGGTGATTTGTTATAATATCTGCAGGCTTTCTTTGAGAATTGTGTAATAGTTTGTTATAAGTTGAGGCAAATCTCTAGGGGAAAGCTGTTAAAAGAGTATTTATAATACAAATTTGGAGTGTTAATATGTGACATGGCAATCCAGTATGAACTAAAATTATACAGTGCAATAGCACAGGTATATGTTCGGATAATACAACCACATCGACACTTAGCATTTCCCAGCAGTTTAATTGAAAAAAACAGACAGTAGTCTTTTGTTTTTCATACAAAGATACATAAATTAGTACTATGTGGTGCATTAGAGATGCCAGTTGTTAAAATAACTTACTTCCATAACTTCAGTTACAGTAGCATTGTTTATATTATATATAAATAATATATAACACAATGCTGCTGCAATCCTGCTGCTGCTCCAAGACTTTGGGTCGAGCTCTGCTGTTGTGCAAACTGATTCATCCTTTCTCCCTCCTCCAGGAGGCTGCAGGCTTTTACCCCCCACCCTTGTTCCTCTAGTTATTGCTTTACATGGTGTTTGACATAAAATTGGTTTCTGCTCCAGTGGAGGGTCTGCAAATACCATTTCAGTCATGAAATCACCAGTTCCCTTGTTTGTTCTGGTTGTGGCAGGGTTATAATCCCTGTGGAGCTCCTGTGCAACAGCTCAGATCTTGTTTGACCACTTTACCTGGAGCATTAAGCTACCTGTGTTAGGTTGCTTGACTCAGAGGACCTGCTAGAGCAAGTCCAGAGGAAGCAAAAATGATGCTCCAAGGGCTGGAGCATGTCTCCTACGGAGACAAGCTGAGAGAGCTGGGCTTGTTCAGCTTGGAGAAGAAGGCGGCTCTGGGCAGCTTTCCAATGCCTAAAGGGGCCAGCAAGAAAGCTGGAGAGGTGATTTTTTAAAGGACCTGTATGAATGGGACAAGGGGAATGGCTTTAAACTGACAGAGCGAAGATTTAAATCAGATATTAGGAAGAAGTTCTTTCCTGTGAGGCCCTGGCACAGTTTGCCCAGAGAGGCTGTGGCTGCCCCATCCCTTTAAGTGTTCAAGGCCAGGGTGGATGGAGCTTTGAGCAACCTGGTCTAGTGGAAGGTGTCCGTGGTCTTCAAGGTCCTTCCAACACAAACCAGTCTGTTATTCTGTGAACAGAGTCCATATAATCCCATGGGGTAGAGGAGCTGGTGCAGGACCTGTCCTGCCGTAAAACTAGAAAAAGACCAAAATAATGACGTTTTGAGTCAAGTGCAGCAGCAAACACAGATGTTTACTGCCAAAATATTAAGTTGATATTGAGCTTGCAAGGCTGTGGATGACTGCAAGTGCAGTGCCTGGCTATTGCATTGTGCAGGGCTTGGCTGTAGTAAAAGTATCTGGGAGCCAGGCTCTGCACTCTGGCTGAGGAGGGCAGAACACTGGGCTGGCACGGGGGGATATGGCGAGGTGGTCCCCAGCCCTGAGGCATTGGTTCAGCTCCATCCTCAGCTGGGCGCAGACCACAACTGCTCTGCACCATTGTGCTGCCCTGGCTCCTGTGTGTGTCACTATACGGGCTACACAGGTCTGTCACAGATATGCCACTGTGGACTTCAAGTGTATCCAGGTGCATGAGCAGGTTTGCATATTATGCAGATTTGATTGAGGTGAGGCTTTTTTCAAGAACTGGAGGACCTTTTAGGTAATAGTAAATTGGTAAATGCAACACTTTTTATCAGAGGCGCTTAAGGTGTGTTCTTAATTGCTGTGATTTGGTGTGTAAAACCCCCAGGTCAACCCCAGAGGAGTGACACCTGCTGCTCAGCTGCACATGTACCTGTATTGTTTTATCTGAGTACACAACTTCATGTTTAACTGCCCTGGATCTCTTCATGGACATGTTCTCCCAATGCTTTTGAATGGAAGATGATTTATTTCTTCAAAATAAATTCTATTTTCTATCATCCCTTTTTGACTCTCTCATCCCTCAGAAATACAGTGTCATGTAGTAGGGTGTCACAAAGAAGAAGAAATGTATTGGAAACAGAAGAGTTTTTGCCTGCATGTTGCCATTGTTCACATAATACTTAGCAAATGTATTGCCATTAGGAGTTATTTCTGAACTGGTGCAGTGATCTGAAATGCACAGGTGTTCAGGTTGTTGGAAGCTAAAATCCTTAATCCAGAATACCGTTGTTTTGAAATAATACTTCCTTGCACTTATCTTGTGTTTTTCTGTTGCATTTATTTGTTGCTGGGTTCAACAGACGTGCTCGCTCTCCGGATTGCCTGGCCATGCATGAGTAGGTGAGCTGGGCACCCCATAGCATGGTACGGGTTTTGTAGAGCTGTACAAGTGATGGCCAGGGATGAGTACTGGTGTCGTGGCTTGCGTAGTGGCTAGAATAAGATTGAAATAGGACCAAAAATACAATTACTGGTTTTCAGCAGTAATTATCTTGCTGCAGCCCTCACTCTTCTCTGTTGCAGAAGCTCACCCTGAGGCATGTCAACAGCAACCAGTGTCTGGATGAGCCGTCAGAGGAGGATAAGATGGTTCCCACTATGAGGGAGTGCGGTGACAGCCGTTCCCAGCAGTGGCTGCTGCGCAACATGACCTTGGGTGCCTGAAGTCAGCGCAGACCCACTGCCTCGTCCGGGATCTCTTCTCATTCTCTTCCTCCTCCTTCTCCTCCTCCCATCCTCCTTGCTGAGGCCAGTGGTGCTGAAGCCCTCTCCAAATCCCAGCTGACAGAGCAAAGTCATGGGGCAGGGTTTCTTGATGCGTCAGGTCTCCACATGCCCCTTCAAAACCTGTGACTGTTCAAAAGAAGCTCATCTGAGTCTATAAATGTCGAAATGTGTACTGTTACCAACACAAATCTGCTCAAAAATTGTTCCAGAGAAACCTCTGTGAGCCCTGTGTCAAAGAGGTTGGGATGGAGGGTATTTTCTGTTTGTCACACACCACTACAGAGAAGTGACCCGGTATAAAATGCCTTATAACACTAAACGGCATTGGGACCATCCTGACAGGCATCTCCCAGGCTGGATGTATTGGCTCTGGTCTTTCTTGGCAACACATGGCAGGCATTTGCTGTTCTCTCGTGTTGAAAGGGACTTGGTGAAGAACCCCACTGAGCGGCAAAGTTGCCAGGCTCTCAGCTTTGTGGTTTGTTCAGGGAAAAAAATGGGATCTGGTGTTTGGAAAAGCAACAAAACTGAGCAAAAACTGCACTCAGAAATTGAAATTAAATCAGATGAGGCAGCAACAAAAGAATGACTGATGCATGTGGGTCACTCAGACCAGCACAGGTGGAACTGTCCTGCAGTGGAAAGAGAAATGGCTGGGGCTGATACTTGGGAGCTGCAAGGGGATTGCAGATGGATGTTCCAAAACCTGGCCCTCTGAGACTGCTGGAGACTGAGAGTTGGTCTGAACTTGGTCCCTAGCTGCTACCCTTGAGCATTAGTATATACCCACATCCTGTCTAAAGCACAGACAAGAGCCTCATCCGTGCATCCCCTACGCACAGAGGAGAAAACTGGATTGATTCCCAGTTCTGGCTCCAGATGTTCTTGCTTTGATAGCAATGACAGATGCTTATTTATATTTTTAATAATTTTGTGGCTTAATAATTTCATTAGTGTGGTTATTAAAAATGTGCTGATGGCACACAGTTATGTCAGAAGCGTCGCAGGACCTGATGCCGTGCCAGGCCATGTGGGTGTAGGGAAGGGGCCCATATGTAAGGGTGACATTTCTTATATGTACTGTTGATCTTTCCTTTGCTGCTCCCAGCAGAATGTACTCCCCGAAATACATCTGCTGCGTGATGGGCTGGGCTGGGTTTTTGGCAATACTCTGTAATTTCTTATTGTCTAGAGGGTTCAAGAGACCTAAATCACAGGGCAGCAGCTATGAGGTAACTTCAGGACAGGTAAGTGGTAAAATGGTGTCCCATTATTTCACTCAAAACTCCTCAAAAGCTCTGTTTATGCACTAGGTCATTCAAAATGACAGTATTTTCTGTATAATGTTCTGGTTGCTATGGATTAATAGTATCATATATGTACCTACTATAAATTTATAGATCATCCATATTTTCTCAATACACTGTTAAATTGAAAAAGTGATTGTTGTGCATGCGTGGGAGCTAGGGTGTCACGGGTTAACTCAGACTGGAAGCTCATCTAGTCCAGCATTCCTGCTCAAAGTAGGGTCAAATAGTTCCAGTTCTCATCTTCAGGTCACTAGAGAAGTACACGATATGGCTTAAAAGCTAGCAAAACAGGAGGTGGCCATAATTCTCCTTCATAGAAAGAGCATGAGAACATCACAAACAAATTCAACCCCCAGTCTCCATGCAGACAAAAATAAGTTGTATCCTTATCTCCTTTCCAAGAGCTTTGCTGTGTGCACAGCCACTTGTGCTGGTACGTCATGTATCTAGGCTCTTGGCTTCTGTATGGTTCAGCAGAAGGAAGCACTGTGGAATATCCTGCAGCATCCAGGAGCACTGAGAGAGGGCAGCAGGCTCTGGTGGTAATTTGGAAATACCCCCAGTTTTGGGGGGGCGAAGGCTGGCAAGTCGTAGAATCACAGAATCATAGAATTATTTGGGTTGGACAGGACCTTACAGCTCATGCAGTTCCAACATTCTGCCAAGGGAAGCAACACCTTCCACTAGACCAGGTTGCTAAAAGCCCCATCCAACCTGGCCTTGAACACTTAAAGGGATGGGGCAGCCACAGCCTCTCTGGGCTACCTGTGCCAGTGCCTCACCACCCTCACAGGGAAGAACTTCTTCCTAATACCTAATCTGAATCTCCCCTCTGTCAGTTTAAAGCCATTCCCCCTTGTCCTATCCCTACAAGCCCATGTCAAAAGTCCCTCTCCAGGTCTCTTGTCAGCCCCTTTAGGTACTGGCAGCTGCTCTAAGGTCTTCTGGAGTCTTCTCTTCTCCAGGCTAAACAAGCCTAACTCTTCTACTGTTCAGATACCCTTCACTGCCTGTTCAGATCCCAGGGTTTTCTTGGCATCGTAGCTGGAGGGTGATGACAAAGTGCAATCAGTGTGCAAGTGTGTAGCCTTTAGGCACAGCCTCAAAAATGGATAAATAATATTTTTCTCCTTACAATTATTATAAAGGTTATTATTCTTCTAAAGTTTATAATCCCTTGACCAAGATAGCAAGCTTGCAGTGTTTGGGGTGGTTGGTTCCTGCATTGCTATGTCCCTGCTTGGGTAAGAAGGGAGATGCCTTTGTGTTGTATTACACTTATTTAGGAGCAAGTGCATGCATCCCTCGTGACCAGAGCAGGACTATTGCTGTAGGTCCTCAGCACACTAGCAGGGTGGCCTGCTGCCTAGAAACTGTGAGGAAAGCGCTGAAATATCTGTTCAACTTCTGTCCCTCCTGGATAAGGATACAGAAACCCCACGAGTCTCACTGCATGGGAATTTCAGGCAAAGCCTCAGGTACAGCAAGTGAGGGGGTGATGGCGGAGGTGCCTTAAATGCTGATAAGCATTGGAGATGATAAATGATGGGGTTTAGAGAATGAATGTAAGTTACTGTGCTTGGGCTTCTGCCCTTCCTCCTGCCACTGGACTCAGGTGTTGCCTTGGCAGGTGATTTGGGCTAAAATAATTTAAAATAGATTGTTTGGTTGCCTCGGTCGGTGTGTATCTGAAGTTCAGTACCCACAAATGACCACAGAAGAACATCACTTGGTCTTTGTTTCCCCATCTATAAAATATCTCAGAAAGGTGTCGGGAGGATTAACTTTGATTTGCACAGTGTGTTTAAAATATAAAGAACCTTACGAATGCTGAATATTTATTGTTTTCATTGAAAAGTGTTGCCAGTTTTTGTGGTTATAAGACGATGAAATGGGAGTGAGCTGTAATGCTGGGCGGCAATCGCAAGCTGACCGCTTTGAGGAGTAAGTTGAACCATAAACGCTGTACAAAGCTGCAGTCCTTTTTATCTCCCGGCACTTCCTGGTGATCCATGGGGGTGAGGAGACCCAGGAATAACCCCCGAACTGAAATGGGCATTTGGATCAATTGACCTAGGTGGGTTTTTCTACCGATGCATATACACTGGTTGCTGGGAGGATTTTATCTATTTGTTGTGCTCTAATAGGAATAGCGCTGTGAAGAGAAGTTGCAAAACTCCGTGTTCTGATTTTAGCTTTAATTTGCAATTGGAGATCTCCTCAGATCCTATACCATAGGCTGCATCTCAGCGGGTGCTGGGCAGAGCCTGACATGGTGATCCTCCAAAGGCCAGAGCTGCTAAACAGACTGGAACAGTTTGGGGAGATAAAAAAGAGTTGGGCAGTGCTGGTGAATGTCACAGCCTACCCAGGACATTTGTGCTTTTTAGGGGGAGCTGATAGCCTGCCTGCATCCCTGTGGCTCACACCGCGGGTGAGGCTACACCACATGTAACCTGCTACTAATGATGAGCTGTGATCTGGTCCAGTGGTGTTTTGGATGAACACCAGCAATGTGTTACAATGCTTGTGTGGCTTTCCGTGTCTATGCTGACTTGCAGTCACATCCAGCCAGAACCATTGCTCCAGTATGTGGCCACCCCCATTTTATTTTCTCTTTTCCTCTGTGAGCACATATTCAGGACAGCTCGGTAAGCAGTGCCCACGAAAAGGCCACGGTGCTCTGAGATACTACAGACTTTATCTGAAAAATGCTGGAATTCTGCTTGGTATTTTCCAAGGCAGGATGAGACTGAGGTGCAGTGGTTTGGAGAACACGCTTGCAAAGGCTCCTGAATAAGTGCTGGGAACACAGATTTAAATTAAATTTCTAAAAGCAGATTGTGGATAAAGAATTACGCATTTTAAATGTTGTAACAGTTATCAAATGGTAAACTGGTACTCTTTGCTGTACATTTAAATATTTATACATTTTTGTAGAATTAAAATATACCAGTTTAGTTTTCTTCTGGTGCATTTGTCTTTTTCTAGATGTACTTATTTTTTGTATGGTAAAGCAAGGGATGGGGAGGTGGCTGCACACAGACCACGGCTGGGCCGATGCAGCTGCTTGCAGCTGTTCGCCACCTGGAGTTTAAGGCTCTGTTTCCAGCCATCCCCTGGAAAACACTGTCAGGCCGGAAAAGTGAGCTCAGCTATGCGTCACATATAGTCCAAGGAGTCACACTGGGGTCTGCGTCTCACACCTGAACCTCTAGTCTTTACACTACTGTGTTGGATATTGCCCATATGCTGCGTGAACTATCTGTATGTTGGGAAAAATAATAAGTCAATGGGAAAGAAGTAATCTCCTGCATATAAATCCTGCTCCAGCCCTCCCTGCAGCAAGCAGAGAAGGTTGGATGGCCATGTTGTGCATGCATCATGACTGGTTTGTGATGCTGCTCATCCCTCAGATGACAAGGCTGCACGGTACTGGAGCTGCATGGAGACTATGATATTACATATATAAAAACCAGACAAAAATTATAATAAATACATTAATCTAAATATATTGTATCTAATTAATTTAGTAATATTTTTATATATTTTTGTTCTTTATATATTTGTAAAATTAATTTTATTAAAGACATCAGCTATATCTTAATATGTAATGTAATAAAAGGCTATATATTATATATAATACATGGTTCCAGAAATGGATCCTTAGTCTTATTTCAGTGATGCGAGGATTTTCCTTCTTTTAAGTCTTTGCTCTGATCTTGAAGTGGATAAATTCTGGTAAGAAGGGAGGAAGGACAGTATTTTAAAACCAAAGCATTTATGAGCATAAATGAAAGTTAACCTTCAGGAGACTGAGAGAGAGAGATCAGTTCATGTCATCACTGTAGTACAAGTAGTTCCTAAGGAATTTTATCACAAATAATAGTACAACAATATTGAATTATTTCAGATTTTACTGTTCATTCCAGTTGCTGGGCAAAATCCAGCCTTTTTGTTACTCACCTTACAAAAAGTTAAGTAAAGTGGTAAGAGTGTTTTAAGGGATAGAAGATTATGTACCCTTCATCTGCATTATCTTAGAGTAACTGAAAAAGACATGATAATGATAAAGATGATAAATATTTTTGTTATAATAATGACTTCGGACAAGTTTTATAATCCATCTTTCTCCACTGCTGCAGAGAACTTCAATTGACTGATTCACAGAAGTACTGCTGGTAAATGTCTCATTTAACAGGATTCTGCCCCACCAGAGCAGCATCTTTGCTCATGTAACTACAGAGGAATAAACATTAAATCCTTTTTATCCCTCTTTACTTGCTTTAGGTTGTCTTCAGAGAAATACATGTTTGTGTATCTGTTTCTGATGAGCTGCAGTTTATATAAAACATTCATTGCGTATGTGCGATTAAAGAAATGACTGCCAAGTTTCTACTCTGATTATTAAACTATTTTGCAAAGATGCAATTAACTGTAGAGCTCATGTTAATTATAGTATGTGAATGATTTAAATGAATCATAAAATAATCTATTTATGGGTAAAGATTGCAGACGTAGAGGTATTTATTTTTTTTTTTTTCATTTCTCAGAAATGTTAATAATCAGGACTGATTATAGAGCAAAAATTGCAGTGAGGGAAACAACCTACTTCTGATTTTCCCTAAAATCTGTACATGGTTTTGTCTCTTTTTTTTTTTTTTGACATGTATTTAAGGGTCTTAAGGAGTCCTGTCCCTTCCCGTCCCCCCCTCCCCCAAATGAAGCCCTGCTGGGTGTCACAGGGGTGCAGGACACGTCACCCAGGTGCTGCTGCCAACCCTCCAACTTGCACTTTACTCCTGAGCTACAAAGTATTTTTGCCAAGTAAAGTTGGTGGGATCCACCCTAAAATCCATATTCAGGCGGTCTGCAAGCCCATTGGATGATACAAGTTTGGGACTGTAAATTCAGGTCATAAATAATTAGTGTAATCATTTTATTTGTCATCAGCTCACCCTGCTTCCCAGACACCCAGCTGCTCTCTGTGCCCACAGTGCAGAAGCCATGTACTTTGGTCAGCTTAACCCTGAAAATGCTGACGTGTGCTGAAATGAGGTTATTGCAGATAATAAATGGAAGTAGGCAAAATGGCCCCAGAGGTGACTATTGCCCAGGTGAGTTTAAATGGAACCGAACACGAGCCTCAGAGCGGCTCCATCCATACGTGTAGTACCTACACTCACGTAATCAGCCACAGGTTTTTTTCAGGGCTCTTACTGGTGATGTCTCCAGTTGTCAGGCAGCAGGGAAACCTCGGGTGTGGCATCCAAATATGAAGTAAAGCAGACACAAGAAGTTTAGGTTTGTGAGCTAATTAAACTTCTGTTGCTTGTTTACCCTCGACAGTTACAAAGCTTCCATTATTTGACAGATTGCAGATCACATCAACGTAAGCTCAACTTGAAGACTGCCTTTTATTTCATTTTTCAAAAAGGTTCTTTATTTTTTTTATTATTTTATACATATAATATATATAGTATTATTCTGTATTATTTATTTCTTTATAATTTTCTTTATTTGTTTCCAGGTCACTCCATTTGCAGTACATATAGAAGAACAGTGTTAATTATTTTTAAGTTAACCGGTGAATTAAATGTTAAAGGGCCCTGTCTTGACATTCTCCTGCATGTGACTTGTATCATGGTGCATTTTCATCACTTCGAATCCCTTTGCACCCTGGGGTCTGCAAGGCAGGCAGCTGCAGGGCTGGCGGGGAGGGAATGCCCATGGAGGGGTCGGTGTTGCCCAGGAACAGAGGGGAGCAGGAGGTGAGCTGTCCTTACAACCACACAGCAGCATCTCTCCCCTTCTCTCTGGGCATCTGCCTGCTCGTATCTCCTCTGCTGCTTATGTCCCTCTGCTGTGATCTGGCTGTGTCACAGGTCATCATTCCTGCATAACGTGTATCTCTGTGGCCTTCACCCTGGGACCATTAGGACAGCTGATAAATTGAGGAAGAACTAACCAGCTCTGATTGTTGATTTAGGGCAACCTATGGGATTACCTGTCTTGACCTTGGACCTGTTGGAGGTAATGAAAGGGCAGCATTACTTCTTGTCCCTTCTGATGTATCTGAGATCAGGGAGGCTATCACTGATAATGAGAGCAGAGCTGATTTAAAAACAAGTTTTAAGCTGGTTTTTTGAATTCCAAAGAAACTAGCAGAGAAAATGAGATCCTTTTCTTGGACAGCAAATGGCACTCAGCATCACCCCTGGCATGCTGAAAGGTGCTTGCTGGCAGCTGGGCTTCCTTCTACTGGGAAGTCAGGTGAGTTCCTGAGAAAGGGCAAGGGTTTCTTTTCTGCCAGGCAATGCAGAGGGCCCCCTGCAGCCGCCCTGAATAGCAGGGTGCTGTTAAAACTGAACTTTATTACCTAGCCTGTTGGCATTGAGTTGATAGAACAAAGATAGGTTGTTAAAAGGTACAGAACATTGTACATTGGTACAGAACTTTCATTGACTACTCATGTGATGACTGAGGCTCTCCTAAGGGTGGAATGAGAAGGGGCACACACAAACATGGCAGAGAAAGTAAGCTCAGGTTCTGTGGAGGAAGCTATTCTGTATGCCCCTTCGTGCCCACCGGTGCAGGTAACGTTGGGTGTTTCGTGGGCTAGGAATGCTTGAGTGATAGTCTTGGTCCTGCATACGTAACATATTTCATCTGCTTGAAGATCTTAGGCATTGAACAGGGACAATTCAGTACTCCTCTGCTGTTATCCTGATAGCTTCACCCTCATAGTCTGCAGGGTTGTAACTGCCACAAGGCTTGAGTCATGCTTGGAAGGGATTAAATTGGTGTTCTGTACGTCAACTTTCATTAATACAGAGTTCCTCCTTCCATTATCCTTTCATTGTGCAAGTAGATCTCAATCAAATATTGTGTTCTGCCTGCAGCAAAGTAAACGTAGGAGTTTTAGTGTAATGCCCATGGCAGGAGGGTTGGAACTAGATGATCTTAAGGTCCTTTCCAACCCTAACTATTCTATGATTCTATGCCTCCAGTGGGGAGCTACAATCATGTGAGAAGCAGAGCCATGGTGACACAGCAGCTGGATGGGCAGCAAACTGCCAGCTGTGCCTTTCTTTCCAGCATGCTTTCCATGCTCTCTGCCCTGTGTGGGCTTTCCTGCTGGTCTGAAATGCATTTATCCACAACACATGCCAGGAGCTCCTACAAACTCCTGTAAGCAGGACATCACAGGTGACAAATCTGTGACGGGTCAGCCCCAAGTGACAAGAGAGCCACTCCGGGGTCAATAGAAATTTCTTGCTGTTTCCAAGCCCTTTCTCTCTTGCCACAACAGGTATTTAAGTTTTAAGTGTTTAAGTTCCAGGAAGTGCAGGCAGGAAAGGTGGAATTCAGCTTCCAGCCTAGGAAACATTGAATTTCCAATAACTTTTACGTTTTCTGGCTTCGGATATAAACCAAAATGGCAGTAACTTTTTCTGCTCTGTGCATACTAAGGTCCGAATTTTGGTAAGAGCCCTCACAATTAGAGGAGCAGATACTATCTTTATGATCTGTCTATAGATTTGGGGCTGGCACATGTGGGGACCTGAAAAATGTTTATAGCACAGTTGCCATAAAAGTTGCGTGCTTCATCTATTTCTGCTGATGAGCTGGTGATGATAATCCCTGGGGCCCATAGGTGATGTGCCTGGGGAAAGGCAGGGGCACAGTGGCCCTGGGTGTGGATTTCAACTCATTTGAACACACTCGCCCCATCTCCCTCCCTTTTCCACTCTTTATGCCCATGTCCATGCTCTCCTGCACGGACCATCCACTGTAAAATGCAAATAGCACAATATTAGTTAGTTTCTGAATATGCATCTATGTTTGCTAGCAAGTTTCTTCTGTATTGCATTGATATTTAACTGGATTTATTCAAAACCCTGTTGCTTTCTCTCATACGCACAGTCCAGCAGCCTCCCAGCCCTGTGGGCTTCAGCAGAACTC